CACAGTTAAGAGAGTCTAAAAGATAAAAAAAAAAAAAATATATATATATATATATATATATATATATATATATATATGTATATATATATATATATTGTACCGTATATTTGAAGGAAATGTAAGGGAATGAAAAAAATAAAAGTAAATCTAAGGCTGTCCCCAGCACAGTGTGTGATGCACAACCTGTCTTGTTACTGATCTCTCCTTCTGCACATGGTATACAGTCATAGCAGCAGACTGGCTTTCCTTTCTGCGCAGCCTTTCTGGTCCCTGGAAGACAGCTCTCACTGCACACAGATTTGGTACCTGAAAGATATTTTGCAAAGTAAAACAAGTAATAATGTTTGTAAATTATGAAAAGTCATATAATATCCCATAAATGACCACAGTAATTTATTGAGGCATTAGAATGTCACAATAATTTGCATAGATGAAGGTCTTTCCTAGCCAACACTGTTAACCATAATGTTGAAACTATTTACTTGGATTGTGTTCTAAAAACGTGAAATATTTTACACATAATATATTGTCGCTGTCAAATGAAAAACAAATATCTCCAAAATATTAACTTTACAGGAGAAGGCAAAAACACTCTTACCTTTAAATGTAAGTCAATATAAAAGGATTTGGTTCCAAGTGAATTCAAAGCATTTCTATTGGTCCATTCATAATGAAATTTTTACACAATGTAAAGGACCGCTGGTATGTTGAAATGATGTAGAAAACTAATTATCAGCAACAATGGAGATGCATGGTTTTCATTGGACAGTGACAATATATTAGTATTTAATTTAATATTTAATTAAAGTCCTCTTTGCAATTCAATATTAAAGAACATTCCACGTTCGCTAAATTGACACTGTATTAGTGCATGAATGCCTTTTATGTATGATATCATAAGAAAAGAGTAAAAGCATTTTAATGGGTTTTCTGGTTTCTGTTAAATATCTAACAAATAACTGTATAATAACTGTATAATAACTTTTTAACTTGAGGTTAAACATGTCTTATGCTACGCTTTAGGTATGTATGTATGTATGTATGTATGTATGTATGTATTTATTTATTTATTTATTTATTTACTAACTATACTTTCCATGATGGTGTTTTGTGTTATCGGTGATGCCTGTATTACTGCTATTAGAGTAAACAATGCGCTGCAGCACCTACTTACACAGACACAAGCAAACAAAGGCTTTGAAACTCTCTGTGAAATTGATTATAATGTAAACTATTGTTTGTTATATAAAGAGCAGTCTTCAATTATTTCATGCCAGTCTTCACTAGCGAGTGTTTTCACGAGCCAAGTGTTAACAGCCAAGAACACAAGTTAATGTAAAGTTTAATGTAAAGTCCTTTAGCAAAATATTTTCTTTTATATTTAGTAGTTCTAAAAATTTCAGAACATTTTGTCACAAAATATTTGATGAAGGAGTGTGTGTGTGTGTGTGTGTTTGTGTGTGTGTGTGTGTGTGTGTGTGTGTGTGTGTTAATCCAGTTTGGGCAACATCATTGCCTTAAGTATTTTGAGCTGTGCTCCAGGTTTACAGTGCATGGTCAGAGAGTTTTTAAAGTACCTCAGTCTGTCCTCCCACCCAGATTATAGCTCTGCTCACACTGAACTCCTGGCCTCTTGGTCTGGATGAGTCATAGTGTCCCACAGTCACAAAATCCAAACCACCATCTTTATTAAAGTGCCAGTTTATGAGCTCGTAGACGGCCACAGGATCACCATGGGATCAAAAGACACCTCATAGCCATTCTTTATAGTAACGTTCACTGTTTTGAGCTGATGGAGTATCTGCATACATAATTTGAAAAAAACTGTATATATGAATATATATAAAATCAAAGACAAATGGGAGGTATTTTAAATTTATAGGGTTCAGTCGAAAGAGCAAACACGAACAAATCAGTGTTTAGTGAATTTCTAATTTTGGTTAAACACTGGAACAGAAAGGGTAGATTTTACCAAACAGACGACTTAATATTCATATTAAATAAAGAAATTATATATATATATATATAATATATATATATATATATATATATATATATATATATCAGTTTTATACCTGCCATGATGTGAATTTAGCGCTCTTGTCACACTGCGTGTCATTACAGATAACACCGTGGATGGCATGCGCTATGGCATACGTAGCTTTGTACACCATGTTAGACGCTGTATAGACGTCTGTGTATGGGTTCTGCAGCGCGCGAATGTCCTCGCTGCCGTCACATTCCCGCGCGCCGTCTAAGGAGCCTTTCAGGCTACAGCTGAACGAGCTCTCCCAAAACTCCGTTAGCAGAGGCGATTTCAGTGCTTGTGCTGGAGAGAGATCCAGAAGAAACTCACGAAGACCTGGAATCACTGAGCGGGGGAACCCAAATCCTATCGCCCCAGCGCACATGTTAAAGCGCAGAAACTCTGGTTCTAAAATCCACGCTTCGCTGCCGATCCACTGAAGGGGAGGCGGCGGCTGTCTTGCCAGTTCTTCTAACAGAAGCCTCATTTCACCTGCTGCAAGAAACGCTACTATTACCCGGGCTGTTGATCTGCGGATGACGTTTGCCACTCTCTCCAGTTTACTGCGCGGTTCTGTTCTGTAGTAGGACTCGGAGTACTCCACACAGATTCCCAACACCTGCGCAGCCTTTAGAAACGACGCCATTCCATTATTCCCATAGTCCGAGTCACTGCGCACTGCCCCAATCCATGTCCAGCCAAAGTGCTTGACTATTTTTGCTAATGCGGCCGCTTGGTGGTGGTCACTTGGTATGGTCCTGAAGAAGGCAGGATACTGACGCTTATCGCTCAGACATGCGCAGGTTGCGTAGTGACTCACCTGATATTTAGTACAGACAAGTAGAAAGAAGTGTTATTTGTTCTTGACACACTGCAATTAATTCTTGTGGTCATTTATGAGATATTATACGGCCTTTCAAAACGTAATAAAATTAGCATGTGTTTGAAAATGCACTGCTTAGTGTGGTACTAGCCTACAATCACCTGTGGAACTGCAAAAAGACCCAGAATTCTGGCCATACTGATAGATGGGGTGGAATTAGAATCCCCCACGAGAGCAGGAACAGCTGCGGCTGCAGATCTTGAACAGGAATCAGTATCATTGAAAAATGGATCCATGCCGTTTGCAAACTGAAGTGCAGCTTTGATTGCCATCGACACTGCACCGCACGAGTCGTGTATCTGGTATCCTAACGTGATTCCCGGCAGGAGATCTGTTCTGTTGTTGATCTCGTGGATGGTGAACTCCATGGCACGAGCGATGCGCAGCTCCCTTAAATTCATACTGTTTAGAAACATAAGATTAAAAAAATAAAAACATAATATAAAATCAGAGTGTCTTTACCATATATCTCCAGACATCATTAACTCAATAAGGAGTGTGTGATTTCAATAATTGGAAATTTGATCATTATCATTTCTCTGTAATTCGTCCTACATTGTTCACTACACACTCACAGACAGACCTTCCAGAGCACTGTGGCTGTAGTGGTTGTCTGGTGTAGGTGTTCTGTTCTGATGTCGTGTAGAAATGAATAGAGAAAATCCCCCCTATTATAAAGTCTCCATTCATAGAAAGACTAGGCATCAGAGGCTCAGCCCACAGCCTGCAGCTGACCGGGCTCCGCTTTACATGTTGTTGTACTGAGCCCAGTTAACCACAGCAATGATTCCAACATCATTATAATCGAAGTGAGCTGCATGGCGTGCTCGGTAGTTCTCAGCCCTCTGAAGGCCAGTGCGACTGCATCTAAATAGCAACCTTGTTATGATGCCCTGGGGGTGTGAGCTCAGACTCAGTAGGCGTGGCCATGTCTTTAAGTGTAATTATAGTGGTAGATCTAACTTTTGTATTTGTTTGTATCTTTTGTATTGAATAATGGTTCATTGAAGTAAGCAATCCTGCACCAACTTCAGAGTTCAGCGTGTGCAGTTATCAGATGAAAGTGAAACTATCCCTGAGCTCGTGCAAAACAGAAGGCTGTCCCAACTATACACTTTCTGTATTACACACACACACACACACACATGTATACACACACACGGATCAGGCATAACAGTATGATCACCTCCTTGTTTCTACACTCATTGTCCATTTTATCAGCTCCACTTACTCTATAGGTGCACTTTGTAGTTCTACAATTACAGACTGGAGTCCATCTGATTCTCTGCATACTTTGTTAGCCCCCTTTAACCCTGTTCTTCAGTGGTTAGGACCCCCATGGACCCTCAAAGAGGACATACTATTTGGGTGGTAGATCATTCTCAGCACAGCAGTAACATTGATGTGGTGGTGGTGTGTTAGTGTGTGTTCCGCTGGTCTGAGCAGACAACAGCGGATATTTATATATATATACAATAGTATATATATATATATATAATATATATATATATATATATAATATACACAATAATATATATATATATATATAGATATATAATATATATATATATATATATATATATATAATCTTTTTTATCCATCATATGTAATGTTATTCTATTCTAATTAATCACACTTAACGGGCAAACTAATTGCTAACTCTTTTACCTCAGCGACTAAAAACGGCAAAGGACAGCATTAAGCTTACGAATGTGCAGAGAGACAAGGAAAGCCTATTGCCAAGACTTGATTAAACACCATCAGATTGTGTAAAATCAAATGTCATAAACAATACATTTTGAAACTGATTATAAAAGCTTCATTTTGACATAGAGATCTTATCTGAGAATACTGAATGGTAAGTTTCTGAACAGTTGATTTTAACTTATTATATACTATTATATTTTATTATTGAAATGTTACATGTGAAAAGGATACTTATGTCTACTTATACATCAAAACATAAAATACAGTTTAATTACCAACATGCATTGGTGAAACTACCATGCACATGTAAATTTAACCACAAATCTGATCATTTTATTGAATGTGCTGAATCTCACTGCTACATGTACAATTTGTATGAGACACTCAAAGAGGCTTGGAGGGAACTTTACCCATGATGTGTTTCTTGGTATTCTGATCTGGCCTAAACATGATTATGAAACACTTGGGAGCAAAAATACAAATAATCAAACCAAAGCTTGAGGCCAGAATAGCAAATATCTCTACAGCTACAGTGAACTTTCCAGGAGAGCTGACATAAGCTGGGATAAAGGTAACCCACACTGCACAGAATATGAGCATGCTGAATGTGATGAACTTGGCTTCATTAAATTTATCAGGCAGCTTCCGTGCTAGAAAAGCCAAAATAAAACATAAAAGAGCAAGAAATCCTATATAACCCAGCACAGCCCAGAATCCTATAGCTGAACCTAATCCACATTCCAGTACTATCCTTTCTGTGTACTGCTTAAGATTTTTGAAGGGGAGAGGAGGCGATATGGTCAACCAAAGAACACAAATAAGGACCTGTATGAGAGTGAAGGTGAGAACACTGAGTCTCTGCTGTGGAGGCCCAAACCATTTCATGGCATTACTGCCTGGAAGTGTAGCTCTGAAGGCCATTAACACCACTATTGTTTTCATTAGAACACAGGAGATGCAGAGGACGAAGGTGATCCCAAACGCTGTGTGGCGCAGCATACAGGACCACCCAGAGGGCCGACCAATGAAAGTAAGTGAGCAGAGGAAACACAGAGTCAATGAGAAGAGCAGCAGGAAGCTCAGCTCTGAGTTGTTGGCTCGGACGATGGGTGAAGCTCTGTATTTGTAAAAGGCAACAGCCACACATACAGATATGAAGGCTCCAGAGATGGAGAACACTGTCAGGATGATGCTCAGAGTTTCATCCCAGGACAGGAACTCCACAGGCTTGGGAAGGCAGCTGTCTCGCTGGGAGTTGGGCCAGAAATCAGGAGGGCAGCGCACACAGTTGAGAGAGTCTGAGAGATTAGAAAAAAGATTCTTTGAACTGTACATAGAACTGTAAGGGAATGACAAAATAATTAAATAAATTATAGCTGTCCCCATCATTCTGTATTGTAATACACAACCTGTCTTGTTGCTGATCTCTCCTTCTGCACATGGTATACAGTCATAGCAGCAGACTGGCTTTCCTTTCTGCACAGCCTTCCTGGTTCCTGGAGGACAGCTCTCACTGCACACAGACCGTGACACCTAAAATGTATGAGACAAGTGCAAATCATTCACAGCTGTTCAAATAATAATAATAATAATAATAATAATAATAATAATAATAATAATCATAATAATACAATCCCCAATAATTTGCATAATCATTTTCCTTGGTTAACACTTGAAGGCAAATATATACTGAGGTAAATATATTCAGTGTTTTAAATGATGTATTTATTTTTTATGCGAATTTGGTAATTTTTAATTTAGTAGAGTCCTCTTTGCAATTTCATCTTAAAGGAACTTTACATGTTTCATAAATTGACAACTTAATAATATTTGAATGGCTTTTTTGTATGATATCTTATGAAAAGATTAAAAGCATTTTAATGGATTTTCTGGTTTCAGTTCCATACCTAATTTCTCAGTTTTCATTAATCATGAATATGTAATTGTAATTTGAAGTTGAACCATCTTTAGGATAAAATGTACGTTTTTGTTGTTGTTGTTGTTGTTGTTGTTGTTGTTGTTGTTGTTTTTAAACAAATACTTACTAAACTATCCATGATGGTGTTTTATGTTACCTTTGCAATTATTATTAATTCTATAAGGGTAACCAATAGGCTGCAGCACCTACTTACACAGAGACATGCTACAAATGCTTTGAAAATGTTTATAATACCCATTACATTGTAAACTTTGTAAATACCCATTACATTGTAATTTTTTATTTTATTTTCTTTTTTTTTTTTACATAAAGAGCAGTCTAGAATTCATTGACGCCAGTGTTCACTAGCCCTTAGAACACTCGAATTTTTGGGATTTTCTTTTTTTTTTTCGGTTTTTTGGGTCAATTACAATTACAGTTATAAAGTATTTACATGCAACAGTCACACATGCCACATCTTGTTATTTTCAGGAGACCCTGGGCTACTTAGATGCCATTGTTTGACATGAAAAAGCTAACAGAAACTTGGTATCCTTGGTATCCTTATTAAATTGTCATCAATTTCTGATCAAAAATTTACCTAGCACCTGCAAAATTTTGTAACTTTTTGCTTATAGAGATCTTAAAAACAAGTGGCACCTCAGATATCTTTTCAGACATTGTTAGTCTGGTGTGTCTGTGAGCTGAAAGTACAATAATTCTGTTAGGTTGAGCAAAAATAAACTCTTAGCAAAAGGCAAAAATGATTTTCTGCTGAGTGCTAAAACTGTGATACACAGCAAGACTGGCTTTATTTTTAATTACATGATTATTTAATATCAAATATTTTTAATGCTAACGTATCAATGTAAACAGAAAAACTTAGCTTAATTTTATTGATTTTATAATAATATTTGTTACATTTATTGTTATTTATCTAGTAAAATGTGTTTTAGGGCCTGTTTGTGTGATTTTTAAGGGAAAGTGCA